GTGTCCGCTCCTGAGACTGGGAAGCCGGTGGCTGGATTATTGAAGCCGTTATTATTGCAAACCTCAGGCCGGTTTCAGCGACCTCACGAGCTGGCAGCCACTCTCGCTGTCCCCCAGCCATGGGAATCGTGCTCGGATCCTGGCAGCCTGGAGGGTCTCATTAAAACGCTGCCCCAGGGAGAGAGACAAGCCTGGACCCCTGGTCTCTGTTCTCAAACTCTTCTGCCTCTGTCTGTGAGCTGTTTAGGAAGCTTCGCCTCTGTCAGATCTACTGCAAAGTCCCACTGCTATAAAACAGGCAAATGACCCAGTCAATCTTTAAACAGGATAACACATTGCGGTACAGGACTAATTCTTAGAAATGTGACCAATCTGCACCCATCTGCTCAATGTTCAGGCGTTAGTTTCATGATCTCAATTATCAAGAGTTAGCTTCATAATGGGTTTGACATTCTAAAGAGGTCTTTAGACTTTGTTTTGCACAATAATGTTGGGAGGAATTAAGGCAGCTGGGGCGGCGTTAACAAACGTAGAGACACACATGGAAGGAACACAGTCAAACTCTGCTAATCTGCCCACCAGGAGTGCACAAGAATTCACAGTAAGAACATGTGAAGTTTACAGATGAGAGGGGGCTATTTGGCCCATCTAGCCTGTGTGAGTTAGTAGATAGTGTTCACCTGAGCAACTCATCCACTTGTGTTTCGAAGTGCATCAGGGCCTTGGCTTTAAAAACGTGGCTGGATAGCTCGTTCCATACCCCCACAACTCTTTGTGTAAATATGTGCTTCCCGTTCTCTGTCCTACATTCATCATTGAATGTTTTACCAATAATTGATCATGTTTTGACATCACGTGATCATTGGCAAAATCAGGTTCAATCACAGAACCTCTGGGTAATACTACACTTTTCATTCACGAAGCACAAAGTTGGCTTCGATGAGATAACAGGAAGTAACCTGACACCCAGAGAAGGACTAGAGCAGTGTCAGGCTTTTCCCGCACAGGGAGTTTAACATTCTGAACAATCAACCACAGAACTTAGCTGCTGCATTTCTGCAAGGGGCAGCATTGTGTGTTTGGGAATGCATGAGATAATAATTCTGTTTAAATAAAAAAACATCTAATAGTGTTCCTGTAGCACTTCTCGTTTCAGCCCGGAGTGCAGCAGTTCACAGGGGCAGGCCTGCTGTATCACAACAGAAACTGCTGACCTGCTCATGTTAAGGCTGAGCCAGGAACCGAACCGGTGTCCTGCAGCCTTTAACAGCTAGACACCCAGCAAGAGCAGGAGACACGCGTAGGGGGCCGCCGAAATGACCAGACTAAGAACTGGTGTGTGCTCGTTTGCATTGGTACAGAACTTCTTTTGTTCAACTCGTCTTTTAAACTAGAGGAATTCAGCTCTGCAAGGTCACATGAGAGCAGCATTCAAGTATAATTTCCCGTGCGACACTCAAAGATGGAAGCACTTAGAGGACACTGATGGTATTTATGTCCTAAAGGATGAATTCCTCTGTGTTTTTTTTAAAGTAGAATTTTAGTTCGGTGTGAAACCATGAAAGTGTTTTCTAATTTCTGTGTGCAGCGGTTACTCTGACCAGCTGTTGTGATGCAGCAGCGAACCCAGCGAGGACTCTGTACTGTATGTACAGTGCCCTGTGAAAGTCCTGGGACAGAAAAGTGCTGGCAGACCTCAGAGATTACAGCCCGTGTGTGACAATAGTGGCAGTTAACAACATAAGACTGCCGGTGAAATATGCTGTTTTAAAAGCTTCAAATCGGATCTGTCGGCGAATCCCCCTTCCCAGTGCCTGACTTGGCTGCAGCAGTTCATCCTGGAAATTGGGGGAATTTCCATAAGCGCTGCAGAGTCAGCGAGGACAATCTGATTTACCTTCCCTGGAATCGTTTTTCAGTCTCGCTGCCATAAAGGCGACCCACGTGTGTGAAGAAAGTCCCCCACCCCGTGCACAGCGCTCCACGCCGTTCCTGGGCGCTTTTCTCCTGTGCTGCAGACACGCAGCGCCTCCCACAGCGACACAGACATTGTTTT